ATAACCCATAGTGAATAAAAAAATATGTTACAAAAAGTGGTGTCGGAAATATACTGTAAATGTGTCACCGCTCCACATCGCAAATTTTATTAAGAGTATATAATTATAATTGTTATCGAAAACAAAGTAAATGTATCATCAATACTATGATTCTTTACTTTTATAAAGGGACACACCAAATTTTATAAGGGGGAGACGAATATTATAGAGTTACTAAGTACTCTAACTTTACTAGAAGGGTATCCATTTCTGAATAAGACATGACATAAAATATAGGCCAAGATTCCATTTTTGGTGTTGGGTTCACGGCACATTTATTTGCCTTTGGAGTCCGAACAAAGCTGCAGAGATTCCTTGTTCTCTAACCACAACATGTCACGAGAAAAATAGCATAGGCAATTGTGCTTGGGTGAATAGATAGATGCTCGAGAGATGGGATCCAAGTGTCACCCATTAAGTAGAGAGGATCAAAATCTCTTAATAACCTAAGCAGAGCAAAGCATGTTGAAACACTGTGCAATCCGGAAAATGACAACTTTTGTAGTGCTTTTGTAATATTGAGGATTAGACACACTTATAATACAAAAAGTTATTAAGTGCATTTATTAGTTTATGATATAATGTAAAACATATGATTTTGAAAAAGAAAAAAAAGAGTCATGTATTACAATTTATGTGGGTGTAACACAGAGTCCTTTATGTTAAAGAACATTTAAAATCTTTGGTCGGAAAAGGGGTAGTTGGTTCAAGTTCACTGATTTTGGCAACGTGGGGAATTATCCACCTCTGAAGCTGTAGCAAAAAGCTCTTCGGTCCAACATTGCCCATAACCGTATGTTTTGAATTTTAAGATACACTTTTGTTCTTAGGGCAGGTTATATTTACAAACTTTTTTGTTTACAAACTCTTACAAACTACATTATGTAGGACCGGTCCTACATTAATCACACAGTGTACGACCGGTCTTACATTAGTGTAATTGCAAAAAAAAATTTGTAAACGGATCATGTCCCTTTGTTCTTATGTATTTTTTGTTGATAGGGTTGTAGGTTACACACAGTATGATCAGTGAAGAAAGGCAGAATATGTAAAATTGCTACTTTCTATCTTGTTAATTGCTGTTTTCTTTCACTGGTACAGAGGTATTATGATTTTGTTTATCTGATTAATTGCAACTAGCAAGAATATGGTGCATTCATTGTGAAATGCCTTTTTATGTCTAAATCTAATTGCCCTACTGTTACAAGTCATATTGATCTATGATTATGATAAATGGTTCATCTATGAAATGAATAACTTCCAGTGAAATCTGTGAACTTGTCTATTTTACTTTAACTGTCATGATAAGTAATCTATGAATATATAACTAAACTTTTGTTTTAAATTATAAATGGCCAGAGTTTGCAAAGTCCCTGTATGACTTGTTTTTCTGTGTGTTCATGCAGTATTTGAAACCTTTTTTTTTTTAGTACAATGAAACCTTTTCTTTTCATACAACAAAAGGAAAGAAGAAATCAGAGGAGTGTGTTTTGTTTTGTCAAGAATTTTGAGATATTGCTTAACATTAATAACGTTGTTAACAAATTTATTGTAATCTATGCATACATGGAATGCTTTCCGCCTGTTTTAACCACACGTGTTCAAAACAATCAAGTATTTTCCTACCCACCGACACCCGTGCTAAATAGCAAGATGGGGCCACATCTTCATAGCAACTGTCAAGGGTGAAGAAGATGATGAAGAAAGTTACTCAAGCAGTCTTCAGGCTATAAAGATATATGATGATGAAATGAATTTGAGATTTCTCATCTATGGTGCACCTTCCACGGCTAAAGCACCATTTTAAAATTTTTGAACAAAAGAATTGCTCACTTAAAGCTGATTGTATAAGTTTTTTCAAAGTAATGCAGTCAAACATGTCACATATGCTGACGGGACTAGTCTCATCACTGACACTGACGGGACTCGTGCCACGTCAGCGCCACGTAGGTAATCCCATTATCGTAAAACTTCGGAAGGTCATAACTTGTGACTCGGGTATCCAAATCAGATGATTTTTTGTTTTGATTTCACATAAATTTTCGAGATCTACGCAATGACACCTAATTTGACATATTTTATCTCCCACAAACATAGTTTGAAGATCTTCTAAATTTAAACGCGTGATTGTAGTACAATTGTTACCAATTCAAATTATATTTGTGAGAGATAAAATATGTTAAGTGAGATTTCATTGCGTAGATCTCGAAAAGTTACGTGAAATTAAAAAAAAAATCATCTGATTTGGATACTTGAGTCACAAGTTATGATCTTCTGAAGTTTTATGATAACAAAACTGCCTACGTGACATTGACGTGGCACGAGTCCCGTCAGTGTCAGTGACGAGACTAGTCCCGTCAGCATATGTGACATGTTTGACTGTATTACTTTAGAAAAACTTATCCAATCAACTTTAACTGGACAATTCTTTTGCTCAAAAATTTTAAAATGGTAATTTTCCCACCTTCCACTATTGTAAGCTAATGTGGAATTATACTTCCTATTTTGTGCATACTAAAAAGTTTAATTGAAATTTTCATGAATATCGAAACCAATTCATTGAAACTTTCAAAACAGTGAGACCTCAAACCAATATTTTTAGAATTCAAGGTGAAGGCGAAAGAGCCACGTATGTGGTGTGGTATATCATTATAGGGATGTCCTTGACAATAATAATATGAACCAAGACTATGCAAAGACTTCTCTAGTGCTGTGTATAACAATGGGGAGGGTGTATAGCGGCTCCAATAGCTCTTATAGTCGACAGAGTAACAACTCACGTAAGCTCTTATAGCTCCAATAGCTCTTCAAGAAAAATTCACTTCTTTGTCAATTTTTCTCGCTGAAATCCAAATTCTAAGCGGTCACCGCTGATTAACTGCATCCTTTGTGCTCCAAATTTTCCAACTTTATTAAATTCCATTCATTTTTTGTTTTGTTTTGTGTACCCTCTGATTTTTTCTTTTTTGGAAAATTTTGTATGTACATGAACTGTACTATTTTGTTTTCCTATTTTGAACGTGGGTTTTCTTTCATTTCTTTTAAAGTTGCCTCCTTTTGTATCAAATTTGATTGCTTTCTGCATCTTCAAAGCACCGTGCCTGTGTCATCCTCGATTGCTCTTGACTTCAATATTTGTACTGGAACAAGCACAACTAGAAAGAATAGAAGGAGAGAAAGACAGATATGGAAACTGAGATATTGACATTGGTTAAACAGATGAACAATTAAAAAATTATAAGGGTTATTTTTGTCATTTTAACCCATTTTCCCAGAAATATTTCGGTCTACCAAACAATTTTTTTCTAATTTTTCTACCAAACTCACTTTCCCACCATATTCCTATTAATTATATTTCTCTGGTAAAAAAATTTTTCTCCTCTACCAAACACCACCAAATAATAATCACAATCACATTGAAATGATAAACCTTCGACTAGTTTCTTTAATCATTTTCAAATTCATATCTCAGCATAATTTTGAAAAACCTCTCGTAGACTTTTACTTAGGATGAGGGAGCATTGATGTCATTGTCATTCAAGAGACCAAATATGCATAACTCCTTTTTTTGATGAATATGTGCATACAAGAAGTCAGGTTGGGTGACGAATTTTTCCTTTCAAAACCAGCTTGTGGTTTTAGAGCAAGTTTGATCAAACAGCTTACCAGTATGCAGCGGAAAGAAACAACAAATGCAAAAGAACAAAATTTGGAGATCAGAAATAGCATTAAAAATACAATTATATGAGGGATCAAAAGTGATTACCTTTTTAAGTTTTTGGAGAAAAGTTAAAGGCTTTTGGAATAGTATTCAAACTCTAATTAAGGTTTTTAGACACATGTTAAAGAAACCTTTAAGCTTTTAAGAAAAGTAGAAAGCAAAAGCGTTTGATGAGTGATGGAAAGATTTGGAGATGTAGTAATTTGTCGAACGAGGCAGCGCCTGCCAATTTTTTTTGGATAAAACAATCATAGGAAAATAAAAGATGAAAATTATGACAAAAATGAAGAGGAAAATTTAGAGTTTATCAGCAAAGTAAAACAGAAATGCGTGGGCCGTAGACAAAAAAATGTTCAATTAAAATAAGCAAAACTAAAAAATAACAAGCTCATCAAAACCTCAGAAAGAGTCTTGGAATTCAGAGAAAGAAGCAAATTTGAATATTAAGAATTCTATGAGAAGCAGCAGCGCTGATAAAATAGATTTGAAATTGTCAAATAATACATTAGCTTTCTAACCCAAGAATTATATAACAAATTGAATTATAGTTTATCTAAACACAGTGTAGTGTATTGACTTCCAAACATTATTTTGAAAGATAAATGGAAAAATTTCAAACTGAAAGAATTTATATTAAGACATCTCATTCGTGGGAAATTTTTAGTTGTACATGCAATGAGGGCTTGTGAGTTGTTCAGTTCAGGTTTTACTGTACAAAGACTCGGTGTGGTCTTAAAGGTTGGCAATTGTAAAAGCTAATGGAAAAACACTGACTGAATTGATGGAGGGATTATGTATGTTTTAGCATTTTATCCCGGTTAGAATGTTAAGCCAGCAAAAAAACTTCTTTTGTACAACACATTACACACGCACTAAGTTAAACAAATATAATATCTTCAAAGAACAAGCCACAATCAGGTATCATCACTGAGAGCAACAGTTAAAGGATGATTTTGACAAAAAATATTTGTAAATTATGGCCATAACATTCCCCGGGATATTTAAATACAATTCTGATTACCATTAAACAAATTTCTGGCCTGGAGCTAACATAGTATCCAAGATTTAAGAATCTGAATACATCACACATTACACTTCTTCTTCTTCTTTTTTTGGTACAAACATTACACTTCTTTAACTTGTAATAATAAAGTAAGAACCAGAATAAGAAAGACAAAGGAATGAGTACATTTCTCTTGGAAAATGAACAAAATAATAGGTTTATAAATGTGAAGAACACTTCTGTAAAATCTTCCAATAATTTGTGTTTTCCAAGTACTAAGTTAATAAAGGTATGTGATCCTATACATTGCAGGACAAACCAAAAAAAATTAAAATATAAAATAAAAAACCCAAAACAAGAACCTGATTCCAATGTAGTGTTATAAAGGCTCTAATCCTAGTTATCATCATGACCACCCTTCTTCTTACTCTTGCGGTATTTTTCCTCAACTTGCTTTGCCTGGTCCATGGCAGTGTCAGCTAGCTTCATGATGTTAGGAACTTTATAATTCTGAGCCAAGTAAACCCCAAAGACTGTCCCTGTTATGAAAGAGAAGCAACTCCTGATTATACCCATTGCAGTTGCTTTAGTGATTGCTTGCAGTGAAATATCTGATATTTGCAAGGATCACAGTCAGAAAAAAAGAAAAAGAAAAGAAAAAGGAATCAGCATCAGGCCAAAATCATCTTAGAAGTCTTTTGAGAGTTTTTTTATGTGGTTCCATTCCATCTTCAAACACATTGGTTATCATTATCAGATTCCATGTTACACTTCCCTTTATGTAACTTTAAATGATTTAATGAACAATGAACACAAGTAAACCCCAAAATGTATGGACAATACAGAGATGATGCATAGAGAAACTTTGTTATTAGATTTCAGTTTCACCTTCTCAAACTACTTAAATTTAAATGATTAAAAGAAAATGTTCTCTCAGTTCACTCTACCCGAAAATAGCTACATTAAAAGAAAATTAGGAACACAAAAACATGGTTATGATGAGAAGCTACTTGCTAAACAATTAATCATACACATTAAATTATCCATTTTTCTCAAAAAATAAAATAAAATAGAAATTACACGCCACAAATCCTACACAGACTAACAATTCTCTTTCCAACAAACACATCCATAGATGATACAAACAGGGGGGGGGGGGGGGGGGGGGGGGGGGAATATCGTACCGAATTTAAGGAAACTGTCGATATTGATTTGATTTCGCGAGTTGCCGAAACGAAACGGGAATTTCGGTATTATGCTGGTATATCAATTGCAGCAAAACTGCAAAACCTAACACGATTCAGGGAAGAAGACCGTAACACAGCACCCTATTCTTCACAGTATTAAACGCATCGTTTCACTTCTTTTATTTATTTAACAGAAAATAAATAAATAAAAAATCATGAGGTATTATATCAAGACTTTTTAATCCTTTTGTCTTTCATTAATTAATAACCATTTTGTTCCTTATCCAAAATTATCTACCAATTTGCCTTTCTTTAATCGATTAACTTAAAGATTTAATCGATTAAATGGTCAAAACTGAAAAAAAATGGTTGACTTGAAGATTTAATCGATTAAATATATCTCTTAATCGATTAAATATCCCTCTTAATTGATTTAATCAATTAAAACTTATATTTAATCGATTAAATATCCAAATGAGCGTGAAAATATTAATTGAACGAGACAAACACGGTATTGAAGGTTATTTGAATTTTGAATTTAATGTAACAGAAGTTGATTGCGATTTGTATTTAATAGGAGCTGATTGCGTTCTATTAAATACCAAATGCAATCAGCTCCTATTAAATACAAAACGCAATCAGCTCCTATTAAATACAAATCGCAATCAACTCCTATGACATTAAATTCAAAATTGTCAGTTTCATTTAAGTTGGGGCAATACTTTTCTCATTATACATGAAATATCATTGTCTCATGTAGAGACGATTAAGTGGGTTCAACAATTAAAAAAAAGATTCATTTTTTTTGCAGTTACTGTATATAAGTTATTTGCAGTAAGTCCAATAAGACATCGTTTTGGGGCAAAAATTATGGTGTTTTTATAATTTTAATTTATTTCAGGGTTATAATAGTCTTTATATTTATGATTTTTTAATATTTCAATACCAAAACGACATCGTTTTGAGAGATAACTTATATGCATTAACTGCAGAAATATTTTTTCTTTAAAAAAAAAAATACTGATTCGAATTTCAATAAATATATAATATGAGATAAACTTTCTCATATGTAATGAAAAAAACATTTCCCTTTTAAGTTATCATTGATTACGTTCCTTAAATGTTCATCTGCAGCAAAATTTCTTTTACCTTTCTTAATGAGGCTAGTGACAGTATAGACCAAATATTCTCCAAATACTCTGTCAACCAAAGCTTCCTGCGTGCTCTAATGGTATATAATTTTCATGTGTACGCCCTCCGCATTAAATTACGAATTATGATGGTGATGTGCTTCGCCACGTATCAAAACTGGTCCACCCCACCATTACTTTGACTAATGTGACAAAAATGTTTGGACTGAGTTAATAAAATTTAAATTAAAAAATAAATTTCTATTCCACATAACCCAACTGTACGCAAGCTGGTCCACAAACTTAAAAATATCATAAATAATTATTATAATTATTTTTTAAAGTTTACCTATATATTATTTTAAAACAAGCATTCATCTATTTTAAGTAATAATTAATTTTACATTTTTCACTAAAAGTAAATCTTTAAATTTTTAATATATTTCTGTATCAAGACTCAAATTCAAGATAATTGGTTAAGTTAAAATAATAGTGCCAATTAATTCACATGATTGGTGATAATTTAAATTTTTAAATAAATGTTAATCAAATATATTATTTAAAATCAATAATTTTTTGGATTCAAATTTTATAAATAAGTAAAAAGTATATGGACTCCACAGTTTGCATAGATTTTGATTAGTTCACCAATTTATTAAGAGATTAATGTTTTCTCTGTTATTAGAAATAATTTTATTTTATATATATACATAAAAGTGTATGAAATTTAAATTTTATTTAAATTTTTTCTTTTTATATAATCTCACATGAACCTCATACACTTTTGTATATGTGTATGAAATAAAATTATTATATGAGAAATATTAATTCAATTATTAATTCAAATTATTCTTTATCCATTTCAAGATGACATGTACTTTAGCCGGCCCGTAAAGCCCTCTCTCGAAGTGGCTTGACTAATCTAATTTCACACCCAACCTTGAAAGCTTCACTGTTGTACCGAGATTTGTTACAAAATTGCGTCCACACGATTTCCTTTCTGTTTTAATATTATATTTGAGGTACAAAATTTTTATTTAAAAATTCTTACAAATTTAATTATGTATTTTGAAGAATACAAATACTTGAATATATATTCTCCGAAATTTGTAAGAATTTGTATATGTGTTCTCCGAAATTTATAAACAAAAATTTATAAATATAACTCTCATTTAATTTCAGAATGCTATATTCTCCGAATAGATCCTATCACTAATCCTTTCTCATTTTTTTTTTTAGTTTTACTTTTTCTTAATTGAGTTTTTTCAATAGCTAGAAATGTGCAAATGGTGGGAATTAGACTCATAGGGACATGCACTTTTGATGGCAAATAGCAACATAAATGTAATTGGAAAACTCTTATTAAGGACTTAAGGGATACCAATACCACCATGAAACAACTAGAACTATATAGAACTATTAACCAGCTTTCACTCCAAAAGAATAATCCTTACATTCCCTCATATAAGAGAAAGAAGAAACAAAATCCTTTATAGGCTTTCCATTGCAGTAATGCTTTGGAGGAGAATGATAGCAAGGCTCCAATGAAAAGTCCCGTTCACAGGGTGGAAAATGGGTCTCATTACTGACTAGCTTATAAAGAAGCCATGGCTTCAAACCTCCCAAACCCTGTGCAACATACCCAAAAGTTGATAGAGAGGTAGTCACCAACACATCAGATAAACTTAGTAGATACATTTCTGTCAATGCCTTCATATTATGCTTATTATCATGAAACTTTTGTTGCTCTTCATGACTTGGCTGATAAACTTCTATTACTTCACCAGTAACAGTTGGTTTTTTCATATACATAGACCTTAAATTCTCTGCATACTCTGGATATAAAGATGTCACAAGAACAGCCTTTACAGTGTTTTTTTTCCCTGCAGAAGAAACTGAATTTTGCATATCTACTTGTGGCAGTAGTTTATGCTTTATGGTGCAGCTTAAAACTAGATTCATAACTGCTTGCTGTGGAGTTGAATTAGGACTAAATACTCTTATTTGGAGGCCTAGCCTTTCATCTGCCTTGGCCAAGTATGCTTGATAGAACTTGCTGATTAGTCCCCATGCCTCATTTGAAGGGTGAAAAAGGTAGCGACCCAAATGGTGGAAAACTGTGTCTTTTTCTGGGAACATTTTGGTAATCTCCTGGTTGAAAAATGGGGTCATGAAGAGAGAAGGGACAAAATATTGATCTGACTGCAAAATCAACAATGGAACCTTCCTGAGAAGATCTTGACTATGATCACAGTGAAAAAGTTTCTGAGTGTTACCGTGAGTGTAATGTAGATCAAGAAACAAAGCTGATGGTAAATCCTCTTTTGAATTGCTAGCACTGTCCTTCTCTAACATGGTCTGATATGTTTCTACATGCTGTTCATTCCACAAAGGAGACTCCTCAGGCAATATCCAAGTTGAATTGAGAAATGGCTCGCAAAATAGGCCATGCTTGTCTTTCCCAAATTTCACAAGTAACACTCTGTCTGTGAGGACACCATAAAGAAATGTTGCAACCATGCTGATCATTTGGTTCCCCAAACCATTAACAGGTGTCCAGACAAGGTATTTACACATTGCAGCAGCAGCAGCACCACTTTTCTTAGAATGTACAATCTTTGTCATGCTTCTGTTGTAAGCTCTACTATTAGGTCCACACCTTCTATGAATTTCTTCATAGTTACGTAGTTTAGATATCAAATATGGAGAAGGTTTGTGAGGTGAAGCCTTGCGGTATAAGTGGGACTGCACCCTGCTTATGCATGATGTTTCATCAAATCCAGAAGCTAAAAGTCCATGAAGCAGTTTGTCTTTGTCATCAAGATTACTAGCAAGTGGGGTTGAGTCATTTGTTGAACTTTTCATTGAAGAATTTTTCAAGTCTGCATATTTGGGAGAGATAGATAGAAGATCATAGACAAGTTAACAAATAGAGCAGCAAAAAAATTATACTAGCTATACACACCTACTTCTGATGGGGTAATATTCTTATTAGCTGTAGCTCTTCCTTCATTAGGAGTGCCATTTTGAAATTTTCCTTGCACCTTAACTTCGCCAAGACCATTAAGGTAGTAGAGTGAGTGAGTTTCGGTCCATAACAAAATATACAGAGCAAAAGGAAGTTGAATGAAAAATAGCTAGAGAAGACATTCAAATAAAAGGGTGTTACATTGTTACCTACCTCTGACACGGTACCATTATTTCTTCCTTTGAAGTTCTCATCTGATGTATCATGAACTCTTCCACCCAATGGAAAGCCCTTGGTTGTAACGTTCAGAGCTGTTTCTCCTAGTACCTTGCCTTTAGATAACACCTCAAAAAGAGGGAAGTTGGAGTTTCGGTACATTAAAGTAACTATGATAACAACAGGAAACGCCATGAAAAATACAACAAAGAATGTTGTGAATCTCTTGGAACTCAGCCCCTTCTTTTCCATTATGGCTTGAATGATTTCCTTCATTTATAAAACTATAGACGTCTGAGTGGTAAAACTTCAATGACAGAACTAATCAAACCCTTTTAGAATTGCGAAGAAAAAAGAAGGGAAAAACAAGACTAAGATTGGACAGTTTATTCTAACTAGAATGATGTAAAGAAAAACACCAATTCTCAATTCATGTGAGCTTTCTTAATAAAACAAAAAACCGGCCTTAAGGAACCAAACCATGTGGAAAGAGTCTTGATTGTCACATGCCAGATTCGTAATTAACCAGAAAATATGGATTAAAAGCCAAAAAACGGAACATCCTGAATTGAACTCCTTTTGACAGAGACGTATTACATAATGCTTATCTTATTTATTTTTTTTAATTAAGGTGGCATGAATATCGTTCCTTAAACGTTCATTTGGAAAGCTGAACAGCTAGCGTTTGATTTCCTTATCTCGATGAGGCCAGTGACAGTAAAGACAAAATCTTGCTTTAAATGCAAATAATCATTATCCTACTCAACTTGCTGTCTTGCTCTAATTAGTGGTATATTTCTAAATGTATTCGTACACGGTCAACATAGGATAAATGAATTAATATGAAGGCCATGTGCTTATAGACTCGAAAGCTTCATTATTCTGGTGAGATTTTTGATAAAAATGGGCTGCTCTCAATTCCTTCTATCTAAACATAAAGATGAAGGTTTTTTTTTTTTTTTACCCTTTTCCCGTTCATTAATTAAAAAATAATAATTTTGCCCCTCAATTAAAACTTCCACCAATCTGTTCCTGTTTAATCAATTAAAAAACGGGACTTAATCAATTAAACAGTCAAAACGCTGACCCGTTATTTAATCGATTAAGCAACAATGGCTTAATAATTAAATAACATCAATTTCATTTTTTAAAAACCCCAATTTGACAGATGAGGGTTATAATCGATTATAATCAAACCCTAAGCCCTTATTCATGATTTTGCCCAAAATCTTCCTCCAACCGTGCGGTGTGTTCGCAAAACAACATCACATATTGGTATGTATTCATCAATTTACACCACAGTTTTCTTCATTTTTTATTTATTTATGAACCCTAGTTTTTCTCACTATTGTTTGGTTCGATTGGATTGTGTTTTTTGATTTGATTCTTCAGTTTGATGGCTATTTAGTTTAGGTTTAAGGTTATGTATGTAGTTTAGGGTTTAGGTTTCATAGTCTTTTTTTTTTTGTCCGAATTTGATTTTTGATTTCAGTTTTTTTTTTTATTATGTTTGTTTGTTGATTGATAAATTATCATGTGTTATTGTAGGTTCCTGTAGTTGACATGGTTGCCCGCAAACGATCAAGGAACACTGATGGTGAAAGACGGACGAAGCAACGCCAAGACTGTCCTTCTTCTTCAGGGCCACAAGAGCCTGAGACTGAGTCTGTGGACCTCTCATTTGGGTATTTGCTTGATGATGATCCCTCGCAGCATGCTGTATTTATGCGTGATCTTGTGAGCAGACCCATTTGTCAGCCGAAATCATTGGATACAACATTCTTTATGAGGGAGGGATTTGACATAGTGGCGGTGTTGGAGGGGTCACATCTGAGGGTGTTGGTTGAGATATTGTGTCCCTATTCAGAGGTTATGGTGAGGGCCTTCGAATATGGATGAAGTTATTAGGGTACAACTTTGATGCTCAGCCTACAATGGAGTATAATGTGGATAACAATTCCTGGATTTGTGCAGGGTGATGCTGTGGAGGAGGCCAGGAGGTCTGGCATCAAACGTGGATATAATACTATTTATATTGTGGGGTTGCTTAGTGTTGATGCTCGTATATTACACTACATTATCACCCACATATTGTTCCCGCGAGCTTTCAATCATTTGAGGGTGCTGGAGGGTGACATTCTTATCATGTGGGTTGTCCGTCACGACGTACAGGTGAATTTGAGGCACTATATTTGCTGGATGATGTCTAAGGCCAAGCATAAGGGTGCACTTCCATTTGTTTTTCTGGTTCAGAGGATATTGGAGCATTTTGGTGTTCCCATGCAGACTGAGCGGTTGAAGAGGCTCACATGCTATAATGCCAAGTTTGGACAGTGTCTATTGGAGCAGAGCAAGATCTCCAAGATTAGGGCGGGTGTGTGGCAGTTCTCAAGATAGCTTGAGATAGAGGTCCTTGAGGTTGCCCGAGATGCACACATGGTTGAGGCTGAGGCGGATGATGATGATGATGAGGATGACCATGCTGACATAGAGGAGATGATTGAGCGTGAGGGTGAGTTTTCCTTTCATGATGTCATGAAAGGCATCAATGCCACACTTGGGAGAATAGGAAAGATGGAGCTTAAACAGAAAAAGAGATGGAAGATGAGGGCTATCTATTTTTGTGATTTCGACACTTCATCATAAATCTATGCTCATCCCTTTTTGCAACTACAACTATACGATGACCCTTCATACAATATAACTTCACGACATATTGTGTTTCAGATTTAGAACGGAACTCTTGATACACATATAATGGATCCTCTAATTGCCAACCACCGTACAAGTCCTCGTCACCATACAACATCTCTATCTCATCATCAGGGTGTGCCCAATTAATGAAGGAATAATACAGCCTTTCATTCCTAAATGGCTCAGCCGTACATCTAAAGCATGATATTTTTGTCAGAAACAATAACAACACAAATATAAAATGTTACATAAAAATTTAAATTTACTAACTTACCACTGCTAACTGGGTCAACATTAAGTGGTGGCATAACCGAAAAACTCTTGTTTACTGGGTTCATGTCAGCGTCAATATCACCCTCCACATCAGTATCTTAGGTGTCACCTAGTGGAATAACACTCTCAGGTTCTCCCTCTTCATCGCTGTTTATTTCCTCCTCCTCCTCATCCTCCTCTCCCTCCCTTAATGTTATCTGACTTAACCGTTGTGCAGGTGTAGATAAATTGACAACTCTGTCTTCTTGACCAAAATATTGTGAACTTCTTGTATGCATGTGTGTAGGTGAAGATTAACTATAATCAACTTCAACATATACCTAAATAAATTTTTGAAATTTCTGGTCAACAATTGCATCTATGACACATTCCATATTTTCATCATCATAGATATTGTTACTAATGTAATATATAACATCCTTACCAACTGTAGTCTCTACCCTAGCTATCATTCGGTGAATGCATTGGCTGCCTAGTAGCCCTAATTTTTGGTGAATTTTTCCTTTGAGCTCATTGTATGTAGTGTCCCGTTTAATTTTCATCATTTTCATTTTTCCTTCAAATTGAACACCATTGGGACCTTCAAAATGCCTCCCATCGTAGTAGATAACTATAATATATGTGTTTGAATTTAAGCTCATCTTTCACACGAAATTGGGACTAGGGTTCAGATTTTGTGGATTTGGGTTCAGATTTTACCAACAACAAAAAAAAGAAATATATAAATGCAATGGCAATGATTTCACTAAATTAAGGCTTTAGAGATGTTGGGATGAAATAGCCTCTTGATGGGTTGGATTAGACATGAGAAATATGAGAGATTTTGATGTAAGAAATGTGTATAAGTGAAATGAGACCGAGACAAATAGATGTAGGGGTTCTAGTGTTATTTAATTGATTAAATAATGGGATTAGTGTTTTGTACGTGTTTTGACTATTTAATAGATTAAGCCTCGTGGTTTAATCAATTAGACAAGGACATATTGGTGGAATTTTTGGTCGAGTAGCAAAACAATTATTTTTAATTAATTAAGGGTAAAATGGTAAAAAAAAAACCTAAAAATCAACATGGTTAAGTAAGTGGTATAAATACCTTGGTGATTAATTTTTCCTGATTTTATTTTATTTTTATTTTTTACTCTTAAACTCCCCTGATGAAGATAAAAAGCATTTTTTATTTTAATCCTCACACGGTTAGGATCGTAGACTTTATAAGCCCAATAAATGAGAACTTTGTAATTTGTAACCATAAGATCGAGAAATTAGGATCTTCTTAGCTGGGTAAACGTTAATTTAAAAACCAGCACAAGGACCAATGTCTTTTGACTTTCTTTTTCTTTTATTAAAAAATGGAATGATTAGGATTAGGGTGTGGTGTGGTTGATTAATCTTGGCACATGTAACAAATTAATCTTTCATTTTGTGCTTAGTGCTTACATCTACAAGGAGACAAAAGTCATGGGAGAATGGGCCATAGGTGGATAACCCAAAGCCAATAGTTAATGCACTGAGTTATAAAATAAAATACATATAATTAAAATTTATCATAATAATAATAAAATCAAAAATTGCTTTTTACTCTACTTTCTTTTTAATTGATAAAATTAAGAGAAACACATTTTCCAATATACTCTCTTTCTGTAGGAGTATCAATATAGACCGACTTGTAATGGGCTCAGTATTATTCAATTTAATGAATTATTGATCCATCTCTTGCGAGTTACTGGCTATTTTGGCTGATCTTTAAGTTTTCATTTGTATTATATAACTAATTGCGAAACGATGAATTGATTGAAATATTTTTAAAAAAGTAACATGTTAAAAAGTTGAAATCAACTAACATTAAAAAAATTTAAATTTTTTTTTTATGCAAAATACATGAATATTTGTTTTAAAATAACATTTAGATAAATTTAAAAAGAAAATTTTAATAATTATATCTAAGACTTGTAGGCTGATCCGGCCCATCATGAATGAATCAGAGCAAAATTAAGTCAAGCTAAGTTAGGACAATTTATTTTATTTTATTTAATCTTGTTGGCTCAATTTATTAGCCATCTATTTTTCTCAAATGAGAAGGTGTAGATAAAAAGGTATAAAATAATGATTTGGAAAAATAATTTACCTCGAGTCATTTGCATTTTGATGGCTTGAGTTGACTAAATCTTATTAGAATTTTTATTGTAAAATCAAAGACATGTGGTGGGGACACACGTAACTGCCATAACGGTCTGAAGTTCCAAAATCTACTCCAAAGAAGCCTCCTCGACCGTGACATGGTTTCTGGTTCTACCAATCTCTCTTTCTCTAAAAATTCATCTGTTGTCATTCCTCTCTACACCTCAATTTACCATTATTTTGTACAATCAAGAAGGCCCTTTAACTTTATCACACTGTAAGCACATACGCAGAATTTTCCCTTCATTTCATTCTGAAGTTTTTTTTTTTAAATCCATTTTCTCATCTTTCATTCTGCTAATTTAGACATGGGAATGAGATTGTGGAAAAGTAATATGAACAAATTACTCTTGGAATTTTGTTCAAGTCATTTTCATTATATGCAATGAAATGGTTTATTTTGTACTAAAAAAAATAAAATGAAATGGTTTATAAGAACACAAAATGTTAAATCTGATGCGTTTCAAACCTTAAAAAGGGACATAATTGATGTTGGCAAACACATCGTAAAACCATATCAAATTATTATTGGAATGTTTCTTTGTGTATGATTTTTCAGGTTTCTATGTTGTTGTTTTTTTTATTCCTTCATTCATTTTTCTATGAATTTCATATCTTAGAGCTTATATGTGCAAAAGAAAATTTCTAACATTCCTTCCACACAGATCTGGTATTCCTTGCGGTCTCTATGTTATTCTTTTAAGATGTTTGACTCTGGTTACAAGTCACAGTATATTGGAGGCCAGAAGGAAAAGTTTGTAAGGTATATAATACAAAAGCACATTTATGTTAATGTTACTGTTCCTAGTGTTTGAATGTAACATGTTCAATCCATTTTTCTTGTTATATTTCAGTTTAATTATTGTTTAAGGTGTGAAAAGGCTAAGTTGTTAACATAAGTGTCTCTGAATCTGACATACAGTGGATGATGTAGGTTGGATGATCTGGATTCAAATTTGTCAATGCCATCTAGCTCAAGTGGGATGAAGAAATTAAGGTTTAATTTAGATTCTTTGCCATTGCCAATTCCTGGTCGTGGAAGAAAGAATGCATCGAAATCATTTAGGCTAGGAGTGAAGAGAGGATCAGAGGGAATAAAAACAATTGGAAGATCACTCAAAAGTGGAGTAACATGGGCAGTGTTTCCAGAAGATCTTAAAGTGTCAGAGAAAAAAGTATTTGATCCTCAAGATAAGAACCTTTTGTATTGGAACAAGTTTTTTGAGATTCTATGCATTTTTTCTGTAGCTTGTGATCCTTTCTTCTTTTATCTTCCTTATTTCAACCACAAATCATTTTGCCTCGCAATAGATAACGAGCTAGCAAGTTTTGCTGTCACACTCAGAACAATATTTGATGTTTTTTATCTCCTCCGCATAAGTTTTCAATTCCGCACTGCTTACATTGCACCTTCATCTCGGGTGTTTGGACGAGGTGAACTTGTCATTGATCCTGCAAAGATTGCTAAGAGATATTTACGACGTTACTTCATTGTTGATTTCATTTCTGTGCTTCCTGTGCCACAGGTTTGAGAAACTATCCATTAAGCCACTACTTTGAATCTATGTATGTTTATGGAACTTAATGTTTCCACCTTTTCTTTGCTGCAGATTGTAGTGTGGAAATATCTTTACAGTAACAAACGTGCACAGGTATTGGGCACAAAAACGGCACTGTTGAGAATTGTCATCCTCCAATACTTTCCAAGATTTCTACGCTTTATACCTTTAGCTTCAGAAGTTAAAAAGACAGCTGGTGTTTTTTCTGAAAATGCATTCATCGGTGCCATGTACTATTTGATCTGGTACATGCTTGCTAGTCACGTAAGTGCATGTTGCTAAACAAATTATTTTGCTTGTTGATAGTATAACTTCTTTTTGTTGGAATTGATGAGACACATGGATTGGTTAAGACTCAGTAATGATAATGAGTGCATCTAATTGAATCTACTATATTCAAAGATGATATAACACTCTCCAACCATGTCCTAGTGTGGTTCTTTCTCATATTTCAATCTCAGTGCATCAATGTAATATATTAGAATAAAGAACTGGGGGAACTTTGGAAGTATGGTAATTTGGAAAGGTTAACAAGACAATCCTTTGAAGTGTTAGATATAAATGGATTGTAACCATTTCTTGTCCCGTACAGGCTAACCAACTGAATTATGAAGACAATTTACTAATATATGGAATAATAAGTTCATTCTTTTGATTCTATTCTATAATGTCACAGATAACAGGCTCTGTCTGGTACTTACTGGCCATAGAACGTAATGACACATGCTGGAAGAATGCTTGTTATGAAGTTGAAGGATGCAATACACATTTCTTGTACTGTGGGAGTTCGAATAAGCATATGTCAGGGTATGAAAGTTGGAGAAATGTCAGTGAGACTGTTCTTAAAAGTCGCTGCTTTGTTCGGGAAGATAACTCAGAATTTAATTATGGAATCTTCTCTCAAGCTATACAGTCTGATATTGTTGCTTCCATAGAAGTGTTTCCTAAATTTTGTTACTGTTTATGGTGGGGCCTTCAAAACTTGAGGTATATTTCTTGTCTTAAAATATAATACTGTCTGTATAAGTTTTATCTGTAGCTGCTGTGAAGTACCCAGTACATCAACATCAGACGTTAAGTACCCAGTAGTTCCAGAAAATTAAGTCCTTAAGGAAAACTTAAAATGTTCTAATTTATATATCTAGCACGTCTCTACCAAAAATAGAAAAACTAATTTTTAGAATGGATAAAAACCAGGTCACCTTACTATCTTGTGTTGCAATTCAATGTGATTATAGGGGCAAGAAGTATTGAACTCTGGAGAAATTGATCAAAAAGACTTCTACACCATCTTATGAATTAATTTTACCCATATTATCTCAACATTCACTCCATGCTGTCTTCACCTATTTCCCTCCATCCTTACATTGCTAACTAACATGTAAACAAATATATTTTGTTCCCATTGATTCAAAATATGAACTTTATTCAGTGTTATTAACACTTTAAGATAACATGTTGACACTTTTACCTTATATGTCCAACCAATGCAGTTGTTGTTGATACACGTTTGGTAAGTTGCTGCAGAATTTTATTGTTATTTATTAACTACTGTCTCCACCTAGCACGTTTGCATTTCAAAACACCTGAAATTGCAATGTTTTCCCAAGCTTTACAAGCCTAAGCCTCTTCTGTTTGATGTTTCACAGTACACTTGGTCAGGGGCTTCTAACCAGTACCTACCCTGGAGAGGTTATGTTTTCCATAGTAATAGCTATTATGGGGCTACTCCTTTTTTCTCTTCTGATTGGAAACATGCAGGTAAACAAAAAGTTTGCACTACTGATATTCATTTAATATTGAGGATAATTTTTTATATCTTGATTAACATAATACTTTTAATAGTGAGAGTCATTACCACAATACGAAGAGGAAAGTACTTGAACAAATTTGCACAATAGTTCTAATCTAGTTGTTATCATGCAATTGGACAGACCTACCTTCAATCAATGTCAGTTCGTCTTGAGGAAATGAGGATCAAAAGGCGTGACTCTGAGCAGTGGATGCATCATCGCTTGCTTCCTCCGGAGCTAAGGCAAAGAGTCAGACGCTATGACCAATACAAGTGGCTTAACACCCGAGGAGTAGATGAAGAGAGCTTGGTTCAAAGTCTTCCAAAAGATCTCAGGAGAGATATCAAACGGCATCTTTGTTTGAATTTGGTCAGAAGGGTGAGTACTAAGTATACTACTAGCTTGTGCTTTTTGAGATGGCTCATTGTTATACATATAGGTGCTACTTCTAAGTCTTCATTTTCTCATTAGTCTTCTGCATATGATGACATATATTTCAGGTTCCTCTCTTTGCTAACATGGACGAACGCTTGCTTGATGCTATATGTGAGCGATTGAAACCAAGTTTGTATACAGAGAGCACTTACATAGTTAGGGAAGGAGATCCAGTTAATGAGATGCTTTTCATCATAAGGGGTCGTCTAGAGAGTGTTACTACAGATGGCGGAAGAAGTGGATTTTTCAACAGAGGTCTTCTGAAAGAAGCTGACTTCTGTGGTGAAGAGTTACTGACATGGGCACTGGACCCAAAATCTGCTGCTAACTTGCCATCATCTACAAGAACAGTGAAGGCTATAAATGAGGTTGAGGCATTTGCTTTGGAAGCAGAGGAGTTGAAGTTTGTTGCTTCACAGTTTAGGCACATTCACAGTAGACAAGTTCAGCACACCTTCCGTTTCTACTCTCAACAGTGGAGAACATGGGCTGCAATCTTCATTCAAGCTGCATGGAGGCGCCATTATAGGAGAAAAATTGCAGAGCAGCGCAGGAAGGAGGAAGAAGAATCATATGATTCTGATTATGAAGGAGGTGATGATTCTGCAAGGGCCTTGGTTCCACATAATGAAAGTTCTTCTGGTTTTGGATTTGGTACTACTGTCTATGCTTCTCGCTTTGCTGCCAATGCACTTCGTGGTCATAGGCTACGTGTTGGAAGTTCCAGCAACTTTATGAAACTCCGAAAGCCCTCGGAACCTGACTTCAGTGTTTTTGACAAAGAGTGATTTCTCTGTTTATTCTGTTAAAGTATAAGGACTAGTTGCAATATCTTAATTTATAGTGCGTGTCCTTCATTAGTACACTATATGCACTTGTAGTTGTAGAGCATAACATATGCTACTCGTTAACAGGGTTACAAAGGGTAAAAGATTAAACTATGTATGTGGCATTACTGTGGGAATTTTGACTTTTAACATGTCCAATCATTAATGCCTCGTATTCACTCAACCATTTATCATATTCTGATATCCTGTCATTCAAGACACAGCTTAAGGCTTCATATAAAATAAGTCAATATAATCCAAGCACATTCTTCTTGCCTATTATATGAGGGTATGCAGATTGACCAAACTTGGAAAATCATCCTGTTTATGATGCAACTGTACGAACCAAACCATATGGATTGCTTGGTCAAGGAATGCAACAAGATTCCACTAAATAGAGTTGCATGGTCATCTCAGAGACATGCTGGATCCCAAACTGTTGTACGTACTAACAGCTGAGATGCACTTGTGGATGCCTACAATTGACATGTTACAATTGAGTTGCAATTTCTTTCTCATATTTCTTTGCCACAAATGGGTCACATCCGTTTCAAACTGAAAGGGGAAGAATGGGAAGATATTACAACAAAGAATATTAAAAAATAAAAATTGGTCGGTTCTGTAGGAAATGCCTTCCTTGATTACATGTGAGCATTCAATGACTACATGTGGATGCAATAAACCACAGAATCTCTTCTAGTAATGTACTACTCAATTCCGCCATGCAGAAGATACTTCCAAATCCACATCTTCTTCCCACCACGTGCTTACCTGCAATATAACACAATGTAGGCAACAGATTTATAACTTAACTAAGGATATGGCCAAATAAGATTTAAGATCTCACAAAAACCCACTATAGCGAGAAATTGGGTCAACTCAAATCCCAAACAAAACATCCAGGTTATGAACGAGAATCTTCTCAATCGACTTGTATAAGTATTTCAAAAAGTTGAATAGTTATGCAAGTTAGAACAATATAATTAAGAATAACATCACATTAAACCCATATTTGGGATAAAGGTGTTGTTGATGTTGATGTAGAACATCACATTAAACCCAAGAACTGTACAAGAACTTGCTAAGTATATCTGCCCTTAAATCTTAATCAAGAATGAAAAACTACATTACACTATAACCATTGGTACTTCCGTGTAAACAAATAGGACAAGAGGAATAGAACAAACTCTGAAGATACATGGAAACCTGCATTCCCTCAACTTTGTTAACACACTGTAAAGAATTGAAACTGTAATTTGCTGCACATGTAGGACTACAAGAACATTATAAAGGATGCAGTGTAGGACCACAGGAGTAAGCAAATTTTACGCAGAAGAAAAAGAACATTAAAATAAATAAATACGTCCATAGCAAACACACATGCTCAAAATTAACTGAAACTGATTAACTAACAAGAGAATACCTTGTAGCCTCTTCGAAGAAATTCCAGAGAGCTTCCCTCTTCTTCTTGAAGTCCCAGGACCCTCAACAGTTCTTCTTTGGCCTAGATCAGTCAATAGATTAATATGAAAGTATTTACGGTTAATATGCAATGAGGTAAAGTTTATGAATTTACTTCACCAAGGGTGAAGCGAGTTGCACTTTCTGCTACGCAAGCATAAGAACCATCCGCTTGTTTAAGCATTACCTGCCAAGGACCTGAACAGTTTTATGAAGAAAAAATTTAGTGCATCATCCTTATCATTGGCAAATAAAAGTATATTAGTCATAGATTAAGAATTAAAAATAAATTACAGTATATCTGGTATAAACTACTGGCTAAATACATTTTGTGCCCGGTCCATTATATGAATGGATATCCTGCCATTTTCTCATTGACATAGATATCCTGCCCCTTTTTTTTTTTTTTTTGCCGTAATATGGATATCCTGCCTTTACTTATCATGTAATATGCACCAGCAAAGAGCACGGACAACAAAGCTAGACTTTAATCATTTAGCAAGCGTTCTAAGTGGTTCCGTCCAAGCCAACAGAAATAGCTACAACAACCAAGTATTGATGATTAAAAACTAATGGAAAATGTAAACAACCAATTCAATCTAAAAGCTTGCGCTACTGGGTGAGGCTACATTAATGGTTTTAACTCTAACAGCATGATATTAGAGCCTCCATGATCAAGTGGTTACAAGTTCGATCCTCACTGCCTATTATTTAATTAATAAATAATTAAGTATTGTGGAATTTCTTAGCCCAAGTAGGTGGACCCGTGTATTATCCACTTTTCAAGTCCAGTGGACTCTCGTATGAAGAGATGTGTTAAAGAAATATAAAACCATTAATGTAGCCTCACCCAAGAGCTTAAACTTTTGAGTTGAATTATTTCTTTACAGGAAATAAAAGGAACAATATGGCCATATAATACGAACCTCGGGAGAATCTCACCCTAAAAGCTAGCTCGTAAGATAGGAGAGCCCAAAGTCCATATAAACCCCACACCAGACCCTTATGTTCCGATGTAGGACTCAAGTTCCATACATTGCAATTGGATCGTAACATTCCATTGCGCTCTGTAGCCCCGGCGCCCACGCGGCCTAGCTTTGCGATAGTCTTTTACTAGTCTTGGACGAACACTGCAATGCCAGCATCACCAGCCGCGCTAAGCCGCTCAATTGCAATTGACCATTCGATTGCAACTGGGAGACATAGTGAAAGACTTTGATACCAATTGATATGAACTTTGGGAGAACCTTACCCCAAAAGCTAGCTCATAAGGTAAAAGAGCCCAAAATCCATATAAACCCTACACCAGACCTTATGTTTCCGATGTGGGACTCAAGTCCTATACCTTGCAATTGGATCGTAACACCGTACTCTCATTTCCCTCACTAACTAGGTGATTTCTGAGTAGAAAAATTGTCCCTTGCTAGAAAGGGAAGCAAGCAATAACATTCTTCTTTGACATAAACTGGAAAAATGGTCTTCGCTGTCCAGTCTGATGTCAATATCAAATAACTGGTAAAAAAGCAGTAGTTTATCATATTTTTTCGGTAACTTTCTCAGCACAGCATTCCATTATTGTTTTAGTTTTTATTAACCTTAATATTTATTTTACATAATATGTGATGGCAGTATTAATAAGCAGAACAAATTAAGTTCTGAATATGCTTTAAACATACATGCATATTGTTTCTGTGTGTTTTGTGTTAACGTGTGCCTGTACAGATACCCATATAAATATATAGCTGTACCTGGGTACTGGCGGAACACAGCTCCACTGTAATTGACAATATATGGTGCTACTGCAACTGTCTTAAAAACAGAAAAAGAAAACAACCAATGCCTATTATTTTAGAAAAGGATCAATGTCTAGAGACAATTCAATAAAGAAGGGGTACCTTTGAATACTCTCTAATTCGAATGTAGAACACTGGAGTGAATTGAGAAAGAAAGCGGTAGTGCAAATCTTTGGTTGGGAAGCCCAGAAGGCCCAAATCAGCACTGTAAATTCAATAATTATTCTGTCATAAATAAGTATAAGAAGAAGTGTTTAGGCATGTGGTTTATCCAAAAAAAATAATAATAATAAGTGTTTAGGCATGCATGAAAACTAAAAAATAAATAAAAAAAATACAACATATACCGCAGTGTGTCTAGTTCAAGATTAAATAAAAGTGTTGGTGTTGATGTAGCAAATTTTTCCTGCAAAATTCAAGTAATTACAATGGGAGATATCCATCAAACTAAAGCAGCTAGGAGAAGCCAGTGTACAGAATATGTTCTATTCAATAACAGATAATAACTTTAAGAATTGCTCACACATTTGGCCTATAAAGGCCATCAAAACCAGAGCATAGATCAAGATTTATCATTTAAGACCTTACTAAACTCTATATAGAGCAAAATTTTGCATGCTGACCCAAAATCAAATCACATTATATTACTGCATATTATTTATCACCAATGAACAAAAACTAAACAATTTTGACTAAAGAAGCCAAGTCCAAGCCAATGCAGAGAAGAGTGAAAATTCATTAGCACATCGAATATTTAAATTCAAAAAAAGGTTCAGGAAACCTTCAAATGACAGAGACACCATACCACATACTTCTCTATATTAGCAAGTTCACGTGTGCTGCAGTTAATGAATATGTAGAGTGATGGAGGGTCACTAGACTGCCAACGATCTGCATTTGTAAGAAATGAAATTGTCAAAATATTATTATTTCATCATGCACATGATTTAGAAAGTAACACTGCATCACCAATATATGTCTCAAGAATAATTTGATAAATAGTCATCCATAAGTTTCAAGCATGGTAACTAGAAAACATTATTACTTAGAAAGCTATGGTAATGTCATTTTCCCCCAAGAGCCAACCTTCATTTTCATCTTCAAAGTCAAAATCAAGGGTATTCCTGATAGATCTGAAAAATGAAGTCATAGGTCCAGCTGGGACATCATCTAAGGAACCTATGGTAATGCCATCAATCTGGAAGCAAAACAAAATGGTAATTCAAAACATATGGTAATACCATCAATATGAATATGAATATGATATCTTTATTCAGAATCAATGTTTGTGAAAGTAAATAGTTCAAAACTTTATAATTTTCCAATGGTGTGATATTTGGTGGGCACGATTTTAAAAAATATGTCATAAATTAAATCGTAATCGATTCCTTAGAAAGACAGGGAATAAATTCATAATGAATTATTTTTCATTACTGAATCCAGAGCTGCTTTGAACAACTGACAGGCTCGACGCTTCTCTGGCTTATCAGGGAATACCTGCAATAAGACACAAATATAGTAACATTTTTTCCAAAAAAAGAGAGTAAAATCTACACATGAAAAGTAGTTCTTGCTTTAGAAGGGAAGACAAGAATGTATCTTCTTACTATGCAAGCTCTGGTTTCCTTTTTCTCCCGGAGCTTTCTCACAACAGCCAAGGCAAGTTGAACGTTGGCATCAATGAACTCATCTGAAGATCCCTTGAAATATTTAGGAATTTGAGAAAATTATGTGCAATGTAAGGCCAAGTAACTGTGAATGAGAACAGTTTCTTGAAGCATGAAATCAACGTTATACCAGCATACAGTATAGATATAAAAATCAACTAAACGTACAGATATCATGAAACACACAGCTGATAGAAAAGAAGCAGAATATGAACTGAGGCATAAAGAGCAATGATAAAAATTTGTTATGCTGCATAACAAGGCAAAAGGCACTGTCTGTCCATGAAGCACCGATACGGCGTTTTCGATACATTCTCGATGATACAGGATGTCGATTACCATAAAATACGTGTCCGATACGTTTCCGATACGCGTATCCGATACGTTGGAAAAAAATTTAAGGAGTATCGGTGCTTCATAGCTGTCTGTCAATACTAACACTGCAAGCGACAAGATCGTCAATAATTTAAAAATGTGTAATATAACCTACTTAGTTTGGGAACTTAGTATTTCATAGTATACTCTCTCCAAAAGCATACAGCTAGATTCAACAAAGGACCAAAAGTAACAATAACTAGTTACTTATAACGTTTGCATCATGAGAGCAAAGAATAGTACCTTATAAGAAGATATGTTGCTGGGTAAGGGCCTGCAGACAAACACCAGGGGAAAAATCAGGAAAAGAATGCCAGCACACAAAAGCTAAGTTTGGATTAACTTATTTTGACTAGAAAGAAAAACTGCAACAAGTGTAGGTTAAACGCATGTTGTCTGTCTATCCATAGAAAAAATAGTAATAATATGTAAGACCATAAGAAGAAACAAAATCATCTTGAGTGCACACTTGTCAACTGAATGTAGATTTCCAAAATGATATTAACTGTAATATAAAAACATTGAAATCATGCATACACAAATGTAAAAGCAATCATAAGTATAAGACTAAAGTGAAGATAAGTTAGAAAGAAGAAGATTTTTGGAAATTGGGGTTCAATGTTTTAGCACTGGTCATTCAAAGTGAAAAATGAAAGGAAAGAGAAGAGGGAATAGTAATAATATATACGGAAAATCGATCTCGAGGCGAAGTAGTCCATCCTGAAGAGCATAAGAAAGGGAATTAGCAGCATCAGTGACGAGAACTTCATAGGATTTTGGTTTGTAAACAGAGACACCGCCCTTGGGATCAAAACCTGGCTCTGAGGGTACAGCTTCTCTTCCTTTTCCAAGGCTTTGGATTTTGGTAACGAGCCTGAATGGGAGGTTTCGAAGAGGTTGAGTGCTAGAAGAAGAAGAAGAAGAAGAAGAAGAAGAAGAAGATGGAGTTAAAGAAACAATGGGGCGAAGGAAGGTGAGGTTGTAAGGTGGAGATGATGAAACTGACACCATCAACACCATCGTGTTTGTGTTGTGTGTGTCACTGGCGCCACTGTCAACACACAACATAAGAATGATGGATATTGGATAGATAGGATGATGACGTGTCGTTTTGACAACGTTGTTAATCTCATTGCTATGTCAATTGGGCCAACTCCGTTACTGGGCCACATATATGCCTTTATTGGCCCAAATGATGATTAGTGCAACTGCGACAAATCAATTGTTTTATGAAGACTGTTATGTTATTGAGAATTTTTGTTTCTCATAAATAAAATAATTTTTTTATATACATGGGCTCTATATTTTTATTTTATCAAGTACATAGTGTAATTAATATATACAGAGATAGGATCATTTCATATCAGTGTTAAATTTGAAATTTGATACTTCATCTGAGAGTCATTAAATCAAAAAAGATCAACGACTCTGATTTGTAAGTATGTGACGTCATTGATCTTTTTTGATCTAACGGCTATCAGATAGGGTATCAAATTAAATTTGACACTGATGTCAAATAATCATACTTCACATATATATATATATATATATATATATATATATATATATATATATATGAAGAGAGATATTCTCACTACCAAAATTTTTCACTACTAACTTACTACCTATCTAATCACCATTAGATTAACATTTTACCTCTCTTCAAAAACTTTTTAACATTCTCTCTCTTTGATCCAATGGTGATGTGATGGGTAGTAAGTTAGTAGTGAAAATTTTTGGTAGTTAGAATATCCTCACTATATATATATATATGGGCTTAACATTTATGTAGTAGCCGTAGATAGTGTTATCTACAGCTGACACAGAAAAGTGAGCCCCACGGCTTTTTTTATAAAAAAAAAAAAAAACTCAGGATTCGTTGCTGTATCCTAGGATTCGGACGTATATCCTTGCTTGCAGTAAGTACAGCAGCTGCAGAAATCATTTTGCCTATATATATATATATATATATAATGTCGATATGTAGATGATTTGCTATGGTTTTAATATTTTTTATTCGTTAAGAAGTAATTAAAATGATAGGTAATTTGTTTTAAAAAATGCTAATTTTTTTATAAAATATCATGTTAAAAACTTTTGTAATGATACATAAAGAAATATAAGATTATAAAAGTATTTACATTTAATACTTCGAAGAGCTATAGTTTTTTGAAGTAATTAAAAAATTACTTTAAAAATTTATTTGATCAAAATTTCAGTCAAATTTAGCTTTTTTGTAATTTGTAAATTCAATTTCTATCACTAAAATCTATGATCTCCATCGTGTTCATACGTTGGTTGTCCAAACTCCAAATGGACAACAAAACCTCCGCATAAAATGGGGAGTGGATCTTCTTATGTGAAAAAATAGTCATGTGATCATGTTATTTGATTATAATTATTTATTTAAAAATTATACACTTTTTTTCTCTTATTTCATCATCAATAAATGGTTGTGATCAAATAACATGACCATATAATCAAATAACATGACTACATGACGATTTTTCCACGAGAGAGGATGCACAGCCACACGAAATACATAAAGATGCCCTAACAGATTGTGAATGGACGTCTCAGATTGTTTTATGACATTTTGTTTAGAGAGAGAGAGAGAGAGAGAGAAACATAGGATATGAATGAATGAACTCTTTCTTTTCATCTATAGTTATCATTCATCTATCTTCTGTTCCATTCATACCCACATTCCTGTTTCATGTGATTTGAGTTCTTCTCTCTAACCCCTTCTTCAAAATTTTAACTTTTTCTCTTTTGTTATCTCTATCTCTGCTGAAGTTATTACCTTGAACTGTGAAGAAATGGCTGTGGCCATGGCTGCTTGGAGTCTTGGACTTCACTTCATTGCTACTGATAATAGCTTGAGAGCTTTGGAAAAAACCATTTCCAGTGCTCCTGTCTTGAAGGCCTCATCTGGGTTTGCTCCTTCTAAGCCATGTTACATCCTTCACAGAAGTAGGTAGGCTACCTGGGATCATTGGCTACTTATGGATATGACATTTTTGGTCTTTTTTATGTTGGTCTCAATATCCTTGATTATACTGGTTGATACTGAATCATAAGAATTCTAGTTTCTATTGATGATTATTAGTGTCTCCTATTTCGGTTGCTATTGTAATGCTTCACTTTACAATTTACTTAATTCTATTAATGCTCCAAGAAATTTTGAGTGTGAAAAAATAATCAAGTGGATTTCATACACTGATATTTGGTTCCTCTTCTTTGATGTGTTAATTCTGGCAAGGAATTTATTCTATTTATTCAGCTTTGATGTTGTTAGCTTGTATCTTGCCAAGGCTATGTATGGTCTGACTAATTAAGATAGTAGGCTTGTTGAGTGCTGAAAACATTCACTGCTATAGTATCTCCATATCTCGTCTTCTTCTTTTTTTGGAAGACTCGTAAACATTTAAAACTTGCAAAGTGAGTGTAACCTCAGCTAGGACTGCACCACAATGACATGTCCATTCTGTGTTAATTGTATGTACCCTTTTGTCAGAATGTCATCTTCTGGAACTACAATTATCCCACGTGCAGCACCTGTTACTGATGTGGAGGTATTTTGCATGATAACCTATATGATTGTCACTTATTGCATGTGAACGTCCAATACTTCATTTTTCTAATGTTTGTTGACCGTGATCAATGGTCAGTAAAAGATTTGCTTTCAATTTCTTTTCTGTGGAGAACAGGATGGAAATCAAGGTGAGACTGATACCATTCCAACTCCTATAGTTATAATTGACCAAGACTCTGAGCCAGATGCTACTGTGGTGGAGATCACTTTTGGTGATCGGCTTGGGGCTCTTCTTGACACTGTAAGCCATTCTCTGAGTGAATCTATGCTTGTTCTATTTTATTTTATTTTATTTTATTTTATTTTTGTATATTTTTTTATTTTGTCAATACAGAACTTGTGGGGTAAGCAATTTCTCATCATGTATTATTATTATTTTATTTCATTGAAACATATTTGATAGTGTGCATTGATAGAAATATTTAAAAAATTAACTCTCTACACGGTTGCAGATGAATGCATTAAAAAACTTAGGTCTCAATGTTGTCAAGGCAAATGTCTTTCTGGATTCCTCTGGCAAGCACAACAAGTTTTCCATCACAAAAGCGTAAGTGTTACATATGTTGCGCAATGCGCATTATTTATTGGATTGTTACAATGCATATGTTATTGTCCAATCCTATGATTGGTTTTGTGCTATTGCTGATGTATGCTAAATGGTTGTTAATCATGGTTATGTTGTTTTGTCAATGGGAGTCATTTCTTCTAGTCGAAGCTAAGTTGGTTCCTCTGTCATTAAATTATTGTACAGAGGCAAAAGAAAATGAGATAATTTTTAATGGTTAATAATTCTTAAGGATAAAAAGAAAATGCATGGTTAGAATCAGATGATTTTTAATTTCCTTTGATGATTCTTAGAATAATATACTACAAATTCATAAAATAGGCACTACTCTTATGGAGAAAATCCTCTGAATGACTTCTGTAGTGAGATTCCACTTGGGCTTAGGGTGTCAAATCTCAAGTATTTGCAAGTAAGACTGACACCAGAATTGGCCTGCCTAATAATTACTCGAAATTCACTCTAGAACAGTGAACTTCGTTGGGCAACTTGGGTTCAATTTCATCTTTTAAGAAACAAATATCTTGGATCAGGATTTACTAGTTTCTCTAGTATTTCATTGGATATGCTGGTGGAGCTTTTTGCAGTGATACTGGCAGAAAAGTGGAAGAGCCAGAGTTGTTAGAGGCAATTCGTTTGACGATTATAAATAATCTGATACAATATCACCCGGTATGCTTACAAACTATCCTCCTTTTCTTTGGAGAATGATTTGGTTAGATGCCAACAGGTAGTTCTCTTCTAATTAGAGTTTTGGTGGTTTAGGAATCAAGTTCCCAGTTAGCAATGGGAGCAGCATTTGGACTTGTACCCCCAAAAGAGCAGGTGATGAATGTCTATTCTTTTTGGTTTCAGTTGTAAAACATGAACTTTTCATTCTTTCTGGTAACACGCAGACAAGTTTTGTGAAATATATATATGAATGTGATGTAAACCCAAGATGTTAGGTTTCTACTACTTTGTGATTTGTGTTGCTTAACATGCACTGACTTAAGCATGCTTGGTTTCTCCTTTGTGGCAATTTTAATATATATATTGTTCATCACGTCTGTCCTCTACCATAACCATAGAAAAGAGTGTGTTAAGTGGAGATGGGTTGGAGACTTGGGATTAGTTATATGAAGTGGAATTTTCCCCTCTTTTATTTGTAAAGTTCATAGCTATACTGTGTTTGAAGGAGAGCTCAGTACCACTCACAGAGGATGGGCTTGGTTGCAAAAGTGAGAGAATTTCTTTTAAGGAAAGGAGGTTTACAAGGCAGAAGGGTAATGGGAGACCAGTGGTAGAAAGTGGAAAAACTTGATTAGAGAGCTGGAGGTGTGTTTTGTTAGTCCTTTAATTTGTATTTAAATTCATAGATATCTATCCTGTTTAGTATAGACAATTGCATTATCCCTATTTGTTTGACTAATATCAGTCAATTTTAAACTGCCTTATCAAAGGCTTGAGAAAACAAAATTTTAAATGATCTTCCCCAAAATTATGTCTAACCAGCTTGTTTAGTTAGGGTGCCAAGAAAAGGGTGAGAAGTATAATAGCTAGAGGTTTATCCTGTAACAAAAAAAAAAAGTTTTATATTTTTTACTTCTATTACTGATTGGTATCAGGGAACAGTGACTTTTTTCTCCTATTAAGCCATACTCGTAGAAGAGTAGAGAATGTATTGAGGAAGCTTTGATGTTACCGGACAACCTTGTTTATATTTTGTAACATCTTTCAGGTTGTTTATATTTTGTAACATCTTTCAGGTTGATGTGGACATAGCAACTCAGATAAACATTACTGATGATGGCCCAGATCGAAGGTGATGCATTCATTTGGTTCTTCCTTAACAAAATAGATAATCTGATTGAAACAGAAAATTGTTTAGTTTAAAGTCACATAATATTTGAGGTCTTAGAAGCATGCTCAGTGCTAGTGTTGAATTAGTATAGTACTTCTGGGCAATACATGTATGTTGTTGCTCACTTGTGCTTCATTTTGTAGTTTGCTATATGTGGAGACGGCTGATCGGCCTGGATTACTGGTTGATCTTGTAAAGATTATTACTGACATTAACATTGCTGTTGAATCTGGAGAATTTGACACTGAGGTATATATATCATTATCCAAAATGTGCAAATTTATTTTTTCTGACCTAGTCATTCAAAAGGAATGTATCAATTTAATTATTGAGCCCAAAAGAAAGGGGGAATGTATCAGTCTGATCATAAAGCTTTGTTGTTGAACATAGGGGCTCTTGGCTAAGGCAAAGTTTCATGTCAGCTACAAGGGTAAAGCTATCATCAAGCCTCTCCAGCAGGTAACTTTAATCTTGTATTGAATGATAAGAAATCAAGATTGCCTCATACATTGAAGTAGCCAAGTAGGTTCTGATGAAGTTTGAGCATCTGGTGATAGACTTTACATGTTGGCAGCATGACTCTTCAGTTTCTGAACGGATTTTTATATTCATCTTTACCATCTGGCAGGTTCTTGCTAACAGCTTGAGATATTTCTTGAGGCGTCCAACGACTGAGGAATCCAGTTTTTGAGTGGCATCTCTTACAACAAAGTGCAGATCATTGTATTTTCTTTTGGAATATAACCACCATCATGGAATTGTAGAATGTTTGCATTCATTTTTTCATTTGGAGGACAAATGAAGAATGTGATTAACCTATAGCTGGAATGCATCTGGAATGCATTAAATCAAAAAATTGAATTAACATGGATAGGAAAGTTCAAATGCTTGTGATTTTTTATCATAATATTCATTTCATACAAAATACAGTGTTTATGATTAGCATCATGAATAAAAGTTTTGGCTACTGCTTTTGAGCAACTCAAGATTACTAGTCCTACAATTATTGAAATTAAGATAGAATAGCAGTTTTGGACACAAGAAAATGTTAAAGCGCTTGCTGCAAACTCCAAGAACCCTTCTTATGGTTATTTATTCTTACGGGTAACTTTGAAAGTGAATTTCTAGCCAAAAGGAAAAAAGTGAAAGGAAAAGATATTGATGACAGATGGCTAGATTTTCTTCAGGTATGTGATTCATTTGAAGTACTTAACAAGATCTGTATGTGTAACATATTAACATCATCTAATAGCTTAACTTCATCTGTATTTTTTTTCAAGATTTAACCTGTTTTTTTTTTTAATACAATTTTTTTATGTTAAATGTTATCCTAATTGAGTTTTTTTTTGCTTTATGCTTGAAATTATAACTTTTTAATTTCAGCTCAATATAACTTTCGAGTTGCTGGAATTAATAACAAAACTCTGACCTTTTTTGGTACCAATGGAAGAAAATTTCCATGTGGGGCATGGGATTTGGATCATTGGAATTGAGAAAAATAGCTTTTACTTTTTTGTATTGAAATTTTAAATGAAGTAGGATATTGTAATAATCAATTAGTGTTACTATCAATGTTACTATCAATTAATTTCACCGTTAGATCGATTATGTTGATCCAACGGTTATATTTATTTTCATCTTTGTATAGTTATGATTCTTCATATTTAATGTGAAAGCATTAAATATGGAAAATCATAATCATACAAAGGTGGAAATATATATAAAAATTAAATATGGAGAATCATCATCATACAAAGATGGAAATAAATATAATCGTTGGATCAACATAATTGATCTAACGCTAAAATTGATTGATAGTAACATTGAGAGTAACATTAATTGATTGTTACAATATCTTTCCCCATTTTTATTTTTATTTTGATATGCACCCTTCCCCATTTTAAATTACGTAAAATTTTGTTAATTTAAGTAACTCTTTCGCCTTTTTCTTTCTTTGTCGTGTGGCTTGAAAGTGGATCCCGTACCAATTGGACAAAAGTAATAATAAAATAATATGAAATAAAGTTATCAACAATTTAATTGAGGAATTAATATTTTTTTTAGTGGTAAGATATAATTTTATTTTTTACATACATACAAAAGTATATAGAGTTTATATTTATTTTTTATTTTTTCTCCTTTTTTTCTGTAGACATTTTATTTTATTTTTTTATTTTATTTTCTCTCCTTACATGGTCATATACGAGCTTCACATATTTTTATGTATGTATAGGAGATAAAATTATTTCTTATGACATGAGAAATATTAATCCTTTTATTTGATGGAAAATTTAACATTTTATGGCAATTTAATTCATTATATTATTTTAATGATATACCAAAAAAAAAATTACAATGAGCTATGAAGCTGTCCTATATTCTAATTTCTTTCATTAGATTATTTAAAAAGATAATGCTTTCCCTCGTTGTTTAATTTTTTATATTTATTTAATTATCTTCTTTTTTTATTTTTTTCTCAATCTTTTCTTATTTTTTGTTTGAAATTATATATCGCTGGCCCTAATTAATTTAGTATAAAAGTGATGTTGGATTTATCGACCATCAAGTCATCAACCCCACTTAATAAGAAATAAAATTGATAAAAGATGGTAATGATAACAAAAAAAATATATACAACATAATAAATAGTGAAATACACATAATTTTTTTTAAGAACAAATAAATCAAACTCTATATAGTACTCACCTGATAAAAAAAAAAAAATTAGCCGACCCTATTTGGGTTTAAGTAACATGTATTACAAACTACTATGCGCCGATACTTTAAAAAATATGATATGTTGTGTTCATATTTTTCGATACTTTGACACTCCTGAACACTTCAACATATATTATAGAGACTCAAAAAATAGTTCAAAGGTTGTGTTGCGTTACATTTTTAGTTCTAATTATTAGATTCGTTGGATTATGATTACTATTTTATTGAATTTATTATAAATATTTGAAATATTTTATGTTTCTTTATAAAATTGATGGGTATCATAAGTTCAGTTTTATTTTTTATTAAATTATTGAATATTAAATATAATATATAATATACACTACATAGATTAAAAATATTATCTAATATCAAAATATGTCCTAACATATCGAAATCTAATATATTTTAGAACTACCATGTCGAAAGTATGCAGTAAAACCAGGTGTCGCGAGCCCTAAGATATTAGATCTATAGGTGTTTTCATATATTTGACGGTGAAAAATTACAATAGAGAACCTCACGTATATGATTTTTTATTTATATGATCTTGTTATATTCATTTCTTTGTAAGGTAGACTTGTTCACCCGTCCTCCTCCTGACTCTTATTTAAATTTCCAAAATATTCATTTACATATTTTTAAGACAACTATTTACGCATGTGTGACAAAAAAACTAAAGTAAGAAAAGATAGACAGCAACATGAGATGACTATAGATTTTTTAATTTGCCTAGATTCTCTTCAAGCATAACAACTCCTGTATGGCACTTTAAGTCAACTGCTTATAACCACTAAGAACTCAACTTTATGTGATACTTTCATTCTTTCTTTTGTTTTTAGCTGTTTCCATTGGTAAAAGTATACTTCTTTATGTAATAAAAGATATATTGCTAAAGCAATTATTTAATTCTAAGATTGCTCTATTATAGTAAATTCTTCAATTTCTAATCAAATTATGATGTATAATGTATGATGATTAGAGATATATAGCTTATTTAATCATTGGCATTTCATGAGATTGTTTCTAACTTTACATCTTACAATGGTAAAGAGAAAATGTTTTACCAACTTTTTCATTTTGTCCCTCCAAAGAATTACCATTCCCAATTACTAAGAGGTAAGATCCCCTCTCACTTTCTATATATATATAATATATGATAGTGTCAAAAATCACGAGGATCAACAAAAATAACTGGCGAAGAGGATCTAGAAGTGAACCAATTATCAGGTGGCCCACATTTATCAGGGATATCCTGCTTCGCGGTCTCAAGATTCTTAATGCACCACATGTCTTCTGCCCATGAGAATTTGGTCCAATGTGGGACAGCGTCTCTAACTGGGTCCCTATGGCCCAGTTCAGCCACAATGGCCCCACAACCACCATCATCTCTTGCCATGTTATGCACGAATCCACATAGGGACTTCATGAGGTGAGATCCACACTTACCCTCCATGTGTAGTCCATACATAAAATAAACCCCAAAAGGCCTAAAAACATCAGGAAAAGAAGGTAACCTTAGCCATGGCATACATTCATCCAATAACCTTGTACCTACGCAGCATGCATGTGCAAGTGGTGACACACCCTTCACTTGCAATTTGAACACTTCTTTGGTGTTCCACACACTTAATATTGCAAAGCTTGGAGGGAGAATGCCACTTTTTGGATCACATTTGGAGAGGTACTTCTTGGGGATGGCCATGAAAGTGCCCAAATTTAGCTTGTTTGACAAAATTAAGTCTATGTCTCTAGGGTAAAATTCTGAATTGGCAAACATATGGTTATACATGGACCCAGCTAGGCGTGGTGGAAGGTGAAGCACAGCAACACTTGAGCTAATTGGCTTGTAGTGAGCATGAACAGGCTGCACTAGCATGGTTAAAGTCCTGAATTTTAAGTAGCCACATTTTTTTGTGAACAAATTGACCGAAGGCTCATTTGTACAATCAGTTGCCATATATGCATACTTAGCCTCCTTTTGCTTGCACCATTCTTCTAAATGTTCAACTAGTTTTGTCCCAATGCCAAATCTCCTGCATATGCCAAGATAGCATTTTAACTTAATGTTGCCTTACAAAGTATCAAAACATTATAGCTACTGCTTTTGGGGCCTTGAGGTTTAGCTTTTTTTTTTCTTCACAAAAGTATCTCTATAATTATAATAAGTAATCAAATAAAAATTAGAATGAAGAGCAGGATCATTAAGAACCGAACAGCAAAAAGTAAGGTTTTTGTGGACCTTGTTGTCTAGATGAAGAATTTTGTACCAAATTGAATAAGACATCCTATCCAATTGCTAGTTTCTTAGAAAAGTAGACTTAGTGGATACATGTGTCAATGACAGGCTAGCTTAACTATACTTTTTCACCTTTCCATGATACGAGGAACATTACCTTCTCTTTTTCTTAGAATCTAATCTCCCACCACTTCTTTTTTCTGAGTTTTCCGTTTCCCTTATTTTATGAGATTAGAGCCAAGAAAGCACACAACAACTTGTAGAGAGAAAAAGTGGAGTTAGCAATGGCAAACAGAACAGAAACAATAAAAAAGTTTCTGAACTGACTTTTGTGGAATAGGATAGAGAAAAACTGTTATGACTACTGCTTTTGGTTTTTTCTATCTGAAAAGCATGCACATTAACATCCAAATGACCATTCAACATTACTTTTGATGCTTTTAGGCAATGTGCAGTGCAGAAACATATGTAAGCAAACCAAAAACATGTGAGTAGAGTGGAATAGAACCTGTGTTGTGGTGAAACTCTGAGCCCCAAAATATAAGCAAGCTTTACATAAACAGAATTCCCTCTTGTAACTGTTTTTACACACCCCCTTATCACCCCAACAACTTCTCCTTCTTCTCCATATTCTGCAACCTGTTTGGAGCAAATATAACATTGATTAGCCCAAAACCAAGAACTTATCTATAAATCCAAGTTTAAAAGGAATTCAAACTAATTATCATACCATTCAACTTATGAAACTATGAATATTATTATAATAATTCTGCAATAGCAACCATACGTCATACCAATTTGCACATTTATATGTATATATAATATTCTTACTTGTTATATATTTCAACTTCCAAGATAGTGTAAAACAAAAAAAATTTCGTAATGGAAAAATTGAATTAGATTTGTAGCTAGCTACCAGCATGACATGTAATTGAAAGTGACGGATACGGCATATGGGGTCGCCAATGAGGTCAGTAACAAGAGATGGCTTTCCTCTTTGTCCAACTTCACAAAGCCTCTCCAGTTTCTCTATTGCTACCTTGTGTCTCTCTTCATCATATTCTTTTACTACCACCAATGGCTCCTCCACCCTCTCTGATGGTGATTTTGGCCATCTTTCAGCTGCTATCTTCAGAGACATGGTATATAGATGGTTATATAATATTAAGCAATATATAGAGAAAGAAAAATAATAGTATATCCCTTGCTTCTTCTCGGTTGTGCTAGCTTCAATGCCCTTCTCCCTATCTATATGTGTATATTTATACATCTTAGAAACCCCAAAGAATATTGAGACGTGGCACCTCCCCAAAGTTTAGTGGACCTTTTTCTTTTGGCACAAATGAAAAAAAATAAAAAATCTAAACTAGCGTTCTGTTTTTTCTATTTCATAGTATTACATCATGCTTATATCTTCTTTTGTTTGTAGTGCGTGATCCAATACATCATGTACATAACGAAATTAAAGCCTGTACACTTTTTTGAGATAGATAATACACCACATATTATTATTTTGATTATTTTTTTAGTGTTGAAATTGCAAATCTATTTGGCCTTCCTCATTAAATGAATAAGTGTGCACAAGGGAGAGAAAATAGCAATAAGAGGTAAACCGCACACAGTCTTCAAATTCACAATGTGCAATGCCCGCAAGAGGGTTAATGATGTCTTTATAGTGATAACAACAGTGACAGCAGTGTAGCAGTTTAAGGTAAAGTTTATCTGCAGTCAAACTAGGGGCCTAACTCTGCAATTATTGTCCTTTCTTCTTGATAGGAGAGTAGTTATTATCCATATCTAAAAGTTCAAAGGCTTAAAATTTCTCGAGGTTATTATTAGAAAACAAACTATCTGAGTTCAGAAGACAAGGCTAATTTAATTTAAATGTGTACTAGTTAAATTATTTACTTATATATATATATATAAAGAGTAGGTGGTGGGGTCATTTAGCATTCTTTAGAATCATGATGGCAAATGTTTTTTTAAGAAGCACCCAGGTGTTTGAATACTAGAAGAAGCCTCAACCTTATAGAGAAACAAACCCCCTTATCTTATTACTTTGCTTTCACCAATTATTGAGGGAGGTGGTGTGAAAAGCATGCCTTTCACCACGTTTTTGGTGAACATGTGGGATGCTACTGCTGAGGATCAAAAGTGGGGTGTTGATCACCATCATCATATGCACATATTAAGCTCTTTTTTCATTGTTATCGTACTATTCCTTTGTTTGTTTATGTTTTAAAAGAATGGTGCCAAGTGTTATAAAAGAAACAAGTCTTTAATGGTTACGCGCGTCCCTAGAAGCTTCACTCTAGCCCATATCTTATAAGCTGATGTGTCTTGTTTTCTAAATTGGGGTGACGTTTGCTCTTTTATATCTTGGTACATTGTGGTCCAAATGTACTAAAACTTACCTTTTTGGGAATAGAAAATTTAATCTTGAATTTTAGACACTTCGAGTCCTATCATTGGAGCTACTTGCTTCAAATGATACATACAAATGGTACCAAAGCAAAAAGAACTCTCTTGACATGAGAAACACAGAAGTCTGGATACAGAACAAAGTTATGCATTTCCCAAAGTTCTGACTAGACTTGCATGGGTGAACTATCACCAAAATGTGAAGCTGGTCAAGATGGGATTCTAAACTCTGATTTGCCATATTAATGATCTATCCAAATCCAAAGCTTATGAGGTTGCTATACTTTGATATGTGGAAGTTGTGTTCCTAGTCCTTATACCATGAAAATCATCCGAGTTTTGTAACTTTGGTAAATCATAATCGTATAGTTAATGGCCTCTTTTCTCTGTCCAACTTTTCAGACCATTATGTTCCATTAATATGTAGTTTTTATGACTATTTGTTTGCTTGAAATTTCTCTTAAAAACAATAAAGTCAAATGGGGAACATAAAAGTCATAATCTGAAAAACACCTAATTATCAAAGCCACACGTATCCTCAAGTTTTAATGCCAAATCTTTAGCAGAAATTTTTGCCTAGAAAACAAAGGAAAACTGATGTGACTGCATTAATGGGAGAAAATGTTGCATATGACCTGTCTGCCAAGTTTTTTGTACCAACTTCCCATTCTGCTAAATAAAGCACAAATAACTGATAATTACCAACATCTACAAAGAGTCATGCTTATACTTCAATTTTTTAGCTTCTTCTCTAGTTCTCTTTGCTAGAGAAGTAAGAATTTTCCATACATGGAAGTATAACAACTAAAAATGTTTTTTTAAATAAAAATAAATTTCAAAGGAAACAGTATTAAAGTATGAACTTTGTGGTACCACTACTTTCTTTTAAAATGGAATACTATTTAATTTATTGAGCCTCTATAGCTATGAGTTACACAAGTTTGATTAGTAATTTTTATTTGGCTAACCCCAAATAACTATACGTAATTGATTACAACAGCAAATAAATATTCGATTCTGATTTCTGAGATCAATGACAGAGTTATAATGACTATATTCTTGTGTTCTTAGAGTAAACTAATGAGAAGCAAAGACTAGAGAGATTGCAATCATTCTTGCACCATGTAGTCTTTCCTGAATATAAGAATGAAGATAAATTAAGATGATGGGTATTGCCTAAGTGGGGGAATGCATAGGAATTTATGCAAATTCCCTTCATATAAGCTTTACATTATTAAATTCCATGGTTTATGTATTAGTTTCTTGAACTTTTATGAGACTGAACACATAAGGAAGGATGTCTTTTTTCTGCTGTCACTGCACCACTTTTTCTGGTGCAGCAGACACAGAAAAAGTGAGACCCACTTATTCTTTTTTTTTTTTAAAAGTTAAGATCCGCTGGTGTATTCTGCTTTTCTATGTGTTGTTGCATAATTTTCCTCCATCTTGAAATTAATGCTTGTGAATTTTCATTTTTTTCTTACAACATCTTCCCCCCGAAGCCGTATTGAATTATATGTTTCAGTGATTGAATCTTTTAACAGATAGCAGATGACTATAATTTTTCTATAGAGGATGCAAAAAAAAAAAAAAAAAAAAAGCAAAAAAAAGAAAAGAAAAAAGAATCAAATCTATGGCATGGTAGGATTGCGACTAACCAAATCATAGCCCTAAGCCAGTTATATAGACTATCATGAGTGAATCAAATCTTTCATAACAAAACTCAACAAAGGACCTGCTAGAGGGATGCATGTGCCACTTCTTAAAAGTAACATTCCAAGTTAGAGATAGCTATGCATCTAGTTTCTTTGTTCATATTAGTGAAACGCATGAAATTATTTATATTGTGATTCAATAATGGTTAGCTTTCATTTATCTTGGGGCGCTTGGCATCCCACGAAGAAGGTGGTCCATCACCTACAATGTTAAAATATGTATAATCATTATACTATTCCCACAAGTCTAAAACACAAGTTTAATATTAAAAAGTCTTAACATATAGAAAAAGAGGTACGGTTAAGTAAATTTATGTGGGCATGCATGCCAACAGTACTAAATAAATAAACAAAGCTAGTAAATCAAACACCTCAAACTATTATGAAGAATCTCTATTATCAGGTGGGAAAATATGTGTTACATAGTCTCAAATGATTGGCTTTCTATGTACAGAATAAAATCATAGGCTTTGTGTCCCAAATGCACATAAACAAATTGAGAAATAAGAATGTGGTACTGCTTGGATTAAGTGTTGAGAAAAACACAAGTATATTATCAACGATGATTCAGATAATTATTCAAGAATTTTAAATTCGGACCATTTATATTATCATGGCATCCTGGAATTTTCATCTAGTATTAGAGAATGCAAATTCTATTATTCAAGTTTATGTCCTGTAAATCTATTACTACTTGAAGGTTCTTGGATTTAGATTTTCTCCTTTGAGCTTTGTCATATATCTTGATGGATTATACACTTGTTGAGTTGTCTTTTTGAACTTCTTTTTTATTGTTGCAGGTTGTATTATTATTGAAGTTTTTTTTTCATTCTTATTTATTATCATCAAAATTATTGCATCTTTAGATTCTTCATCTTAAGTGCATTAGTTCCACACATGTCATTTGTTAAAAGAGAGTAAACTTTAATTTAATATATAAGGATAATTTAAGAATATAAATTAAAAATATTTGCTAAAAATTAAGATTGTAAAGATATATACATAATTAATATTAATTTAGTTACCTTCTTAAGAAATATGGATCGGTCACGCGTGGTTGAAGAAGTTCATTTGTGGATTTGAACTAGATTCTTGATAGTTGCAGAAGTTCCTTGGAAATTGCAACAATGGTGTTTCTTCACGATCCTCAATAAAATAGGTGAGGTGGGTACCTACAAGGCTTTCCAATACTTAATTCCGTTAATTACATAAGTAGGTTTTTGAGTTTAGGAATAAGTTGTGTGCCTTTTATGGGTGCACTTGTATTTATAATGCACGATGGATAGGAGAGCATTTTCGGTACATTTAGTAATTAGTATACCTACACTTCCATTCAAAAATTGACTTGTATTAAAAAAAATATTATCTCTTTTTTATACACATATTATAAAAAATATCTCATTTTAATTGGTCTATAATAAATCAGTGATGGGACGAGTGTACCAAAAATAGGTAGGTGTCTCCACCTTTAATTGAGTAACGGGTATAGTGTCGAAACCTTTGCCGCTTTGGCCTTCCAATGGCTCTGTATGTGGCGGCCAGTATTCTAGTGTCATGATCGGAATGCCTTGGGCTAAGGTCAAAGATTGATCTGCAGTCATTTGTGCATCCAGAAAATTTTATTTATTTTTGCATACTTAAGAATCGAGGTTTGGGTGCTCTGCTCTCAAATTTTGTTTTAAAAGCTCTTGCTATGTATAAGATTCATGGAAAAGTATATAATAGATAGCCTTATCTTACATTTGTAAAAGATTAAATATAAGAATAAAAAATGTAATTTTTAAATACATGATCACAACACCAACTATTAAGATAACATAAAGTAAAAATTTAGTAAATTTAAACTAAGGGAAATAATAATCTTATGTTGCATAAGATTGTTATTTTATACATAAGACACAAAGTAAACGTGAGACCCATTTTAAATTTTTTTTCTCTTCCTTATTCTCTCTCCTCTATGTGTGTGTAGGAGATAACTCTTCTCCTATGCAACATGAGAAAAGAGAATCCCTTAAAC